CTGGGAGGCTGGGACAGGTGTATTGCCTGAGCTCACAGGTTCAAGACCAGTCTGAGCAAGACCGAGACCTCATCTCTAAAAGATAGCCAGGCATTGTGGTGGGTGCCTGCCCAGCTACTTAGGAGGCTGAGGCGGGAGAATTGCTTAAGCCCAAGAGTTTGATGTTGCTGTGAGCTGTGATGTCACAGCATTCTACTGAGGGTGACAAAGTAAGACTCTTGTCTCAAAAAAAAAAAAAAATGACACATATTCAATGACATCCTCCACAGCATTTTTCCCTGAGTTAATCCAGTGTCATGTATTGCATTCCATTGTCATAACTGTCATATTTTTTTTTGTTTTGAGACAGAGCCTCAAGGTAGTCCCCTGGGTAGAGTGCCAGGGCATCACAGCTCACAGCAACCTCCAACTCCTGGGCTCAAGCGAGTCTCCTGCCTCAGCCTCCCAAGTACTGGGATCACAGGTGCCCGCCACAACACCCGGTTATTTATTTTTTGGTTGCAGCTGTCATTGTTGTTTGGTGGGTCCGGGCTGGATTTGAACCACCACCTTAGGTGTATGTGGCTGGCTCCCTAGCCACTTGAACTACAGGCACTGAGCCAACTGTCATATTTTTAATTCCAAGGTCTCTCTCTTACTGTCCATATAGTTTCATTAACTGTGAGTAATGAGACATTCTTAGAAAGCAGAGCAGGACAAACCCTGGAGCTGAATGGTGTGGTGCTGTTCCCTGCCCCGGTGATGGTGGGCCTGTGTGCAGCCAGACTCAGGGTAAAACAGGAAACAGCCCATTTCTGGTTTGTCCCACAAGTCTGAGGTAGAGTTAATTCCTTTCTGGGTCCCCAGCAAGGTTTCTGGTGCACAGTGGGTACTTAATAAGTGCTTGTGATTGTTTGATGTGGGAGGTCTGGTTCTTGCATGGGGCTGAACTTCTGCAGAAAGATGTGGCAGGGAGTGCATGCCAACGTGTGTGTGTGTGTGAAAGAGAAGACGCATGTGGATGGGGCTGGGCAGAGTCCTGGCCTCATGGCTGTCCACACCAGGTGTTGAGACATCTGTGGCAGTCTACTTACGTGTCTGTAGGCACCTGTGGGCTGCGAACATGGTCTGCTTTCTGGAAGTTGATCTGGTCCCCAGTCTGAGCCCCATGTAGCCAGGGCTCACACACAGATGCTCTTGTTAGGACTCCCCTCCTGTCTCAGGCATGTGCAAAGATCGTAGGCATCTGGGCTTTCTGAGATGCCCTCAGTTCTGCCTTTGAAGTCTTTTCAGGGACTTAGAGCCGCCTCTGGACTCCCCCTCCTCACCCATTGGCCTCCACCTGCACTCTTCCTCCCTCCCGTCCAGAAGACTGTACAGGTTAGTGGGGAGTGGCTGCAGTGGGGAGTGGCTGCCAAGGTGGGTGCTCCCAGGAGCAGGCAGGGGCCATACTGTACCGCAAGGGGCCAGGAACTCCCTTTATCCCAGCACTCCCCTGCCCCCACCTGGCCTAGTGGAGCCTGTCACCCTAAACCCAGGCCTACAGGCCTCAGTAAACCAACCCAGGCCAGAGTAAGAGAAACGCGTGCCCCCTCACCATGTAAGTGGAACTGCAATGGAGTGAGAGCTCAGCCATGAAAAAATCATGAGGCAGCCAAGCTATGGGCAGTACCCTGGGCCCTGTCAAACTGGACCCTGGCTGGGGGCAGGTGACAGGTCCAGAAGTGAGGGGATCAGGCCCTGGCCTGTGCCCAATAGTATCTCAGATCAGACAGGCGCCGAGGGGCAGAGGCCCAGTAGGGACCAGCCAGAGTGGCTGGGTGTGGGGTTGGAATTGGGGGCAGGGCACCTTCTGGGCACTGGGAGTGTTCTCTGGTCCCCAAAGGGAGGGCTGGGGCACTGCTTAGAGCGGGGGGGGGGGGCCTAGACTGTGGCTGTAAAGGGTACAGGCCTCAGCCACCGGACTGCCCCGGCTCTGTTTCCCAGTTTCCAGGGCTCAAGGCCAGCTGAAGTGCGCAGGGAGCCGCCTCTCCCAGCCTGCACACACAAGCCTGTGCCAGCTCACGCCACCAGCACCGGTCGCTGGGCACCCAGCCTGGAGCACACACCAGTCACCATAGCAGCAGGCAGCATACTGGCAGGAGCACAGGCTGGGCTCTAGCATCCAAGGCCAGCAGTCTAGACACGGTGGGTGCAGGAGTTGGGGGGCTGGGGCCTTTCCCCTCCCAGCCCTAGAGAGGCAAACTGGGTGGAGAGGGGAATCCTCTGTTGGCCAGGGAAGCCCATTCCCCAGCATCTCCAGAAATTGAATAGTTTCCTGAAGGTTCTAAGAGGACATCAGGGCCCTGGAGGCTTTCAAGGCTCTCTTTGCTTCTGGCCCTGGCTGGACCCTCAAGAAAGGGGTAGGGTGTGGGTCTCAGACCCTCACCTTGTCTGCTGGCCTATGACAGCTGAGGCAATTTCACCTTCCAGACCCAACTGTGGCTATATCCTCTGCTGTTGGCTGCTCTCTGAAGAAGCAGGCTAGAGGCACCACTTGCCACATAGCCCCTCAGTGCCCATCAGGAAAAGGCGTCTTCTTCTCAAGTCAAACATACTTAAGTCGATGCATCAAGTGGCCTGGCATCTGTGCCCATGTCTGGTCTGTGGCTGGAGATGGCAGCTTGGGCATTGGGCACACAATGTGCCCATATTTCCGCCCCCACTGGGCTTAGAGGTGGGCGGGGGGGTAAATAGGACTTCAAGACTGCTGGCAACTCAGAATGCCTCCATAATGCAGCTTGGATAGGTCACAGTGGCAAACATATTTGTGTACCCTGAGTGGGTGGCTACATGGGTGCTATTGGCCAGGGGACTCTGTGTAAGAGGTAATCCCTGTCACCTAAGTACACTGAAGGGGCTGGCACATCAAGCCACCAAGGGCTTTGTGAGCAGTGTACACCTGTGGGTAAGTGGGACCCTTGGGCAGTGTATGAGCTGCCCTGCTGGGCAGTCACCACTGGGCTCTGAGGCTGGGATCCAGGACAACATCTCCAGGGGCTGGGCTAACCCAGCCAGTGTCTATGCCAACAACTCCAGTCCAGGCTGGGACATGTGTGCCCTCACTCACTCCCACACGGGTGCACAGATGCACGGGCTCCACAGACGTGTGTGTGGAATGCAGCATCTCTCTGCAGGAGCTCAGCCTATCACACAGGAACTGGACCCCACCTTGGATAATCATAGGCACTTACTAAGTACCTACTGTGTGCCTGAAACCTTGCTAGAGACCTAGCAGGCAGCTGGGCAGGAGCAGGGGCCATGAGGTGGAGAACAGGAAAACTGGCAAACTAGGCTTGGCGCCTGTGGCTCAAGTGGCTAAGGCGCCAGCCACATACACCTAAGGTGGCGGGTTCGAATCCAGCTTGGCCCACCAAACAATGACGGCTGCAACCAAAAAAAATATCTGGGCATTGTGGCGGGTGCCTGTGGTCCCAGCTACTTGAGAGGCTAAGGCAGGAGACTTGCTTGAGCCCAGGAGTTGGAGGTTGCTGTGAGCTGTGATGCCATAGCACTCTACCTAGGGGGACAGCTTGAGGCTCTACCTCAAAAAAAAAAACTGGCAAACTACTCCTTCCCAGGGTGTCTAGGCTTGTGGCCTTTCACACCCCTCCCGTTGGCTCACATACCTGCGCCAGTGCCAGGCAGCCCACCCTCCTTGTGGGCTGTGGGGCTCCAGAGTTAAGGGGTGCTGCTGCTTCTGGCTCTTCTACTGAGGGGCTGCCCAGCGCCAGCCCCAATTAGTGCCTGGCGGCCAGGCTTCCTCTACCGCACACCTGATGCCTGTGTACACCCTGCCAGCACCAGGCAGTGCTAATGAGGTGTCATGCTAATCAGAGGGACAGGATGTCCCCAGCACCTTCACAGCCTGACTAAAAGTTGGGGTGTGGAAGAGCAGCCAGTCCCCACACCCAGGTGCATGTGGGTACAGCAGCCCCTCCAACTTCCCCCAGCACACACAAACCAACTGAGCAGTCTCAGGACCCAGTGAGCAACTGAGGTTCAGGCAGCATCACTGGTGTTGAAACTAGATCAGGCCCCCCCTTCCCTGGGAGCTGTAGGGAGATTATGTGGGCACAAGGGCATCATCTCCTGGGGGGGTACAACCCCAGACTGCACCTCCATGGGATTGTACCTGGCACAGCCTGACCACGCAGAGCTGGGCCTTATAAACATGTGTGGATCACAGAAGTGGGCAAGGCTATTCCACAAGGCAAGCTGAGACTGCCCCTGGCATGCTGACCAGCAGTGCCAGTGTGGGAAACTTGCACATGGAAGTCTCTGGGCTCCCGACCCTGCCCTGAGGTTGGGGTCAGTCTCCTCCATTCACTCCCCACTGTGTGCACTTTGCCTGCCACAGCTGTTGCTCAGGGCTCAGAGAATGGGGGAACTATGGACCCCATGCACATCTGCCTCTACTCATCCCAGGGCCCTCATGTCGCAGCCACCATGGTCACCAGGGGATGGAGGGCCCAGGATGATGGGGGAGTGACCTGAGGCTGTGGCCAGAAGTGCCCTGTGTCCCCTACTCCTGATCCCCGGGGAAGCTGAGGGTCACACATTGTGCTGAGGAAGAAGACAATGAGGGTGGTCCCAGCCCCACCTGGGCAGCTCTGGTTTGACTCCTTGGCTCCTGGCCACTGTGGCAGAGGCAGGAGATGAACCAGCAGGTGCAGCTAAGCAAGGCCCACGGAGGTCCCCAGGCCTGGGGCTAAGGGCCCCCGGGGTTATGTTGTGTCAGCTTCCAGCCTCTCTCAGCCTGCTGGTCTCATCCTCTGCCAGATTCCAAAGGCCACCCAAAAACACAAGGTAGACTTTGTCCCACGTGGTCCCCAGGATTCCATAAAGTCCCAAAGCCAGGCTAGTTGCTCCAGCAATGGGAGCAGCAATTCCAGGGTCTCCAGTGTGACCTACTGAGCCCACCACAGGCCAAGTGAGGCCCAGCTTGCCATGGAGGAGGGAACACATGGAAGACTCACTCAGGGCACACGGGTATGGTGGGGGCTGGCAGGACACAGGTCCTCTGGGCCCCAAGCCCAGTGACTACGTGCTGCCATGGGGGAGCTGCCCAGAGGACTGTGTGCCAGCCTCCTGCACGTGTGAGTATCATCGTCCCCTGTATACACGGCTTCACTGCTGCGTCCCAGCCAGGTCTCCAATGGGGGCCCATGGGATCCTGGCCCTGTCATTGGCCCCTTCATGTCTAGCCCATGGCCCAAGGCTACCACCAGGGAAGGCCAGGCCTTAGGGCTGGAGGCTGGGACAGGAGCAGAGGCCAGAGAGCCAGCTGGGGGTGGTCAGGACAAAGGCTGCAGGCTGCTGGGTGGGGGCCTTGCCGTGCTCCTGGCAGCAGGAATCAGAGAAGTGGTAACTGGATCCTGCTGGGGACCTGGCGGCCACCAAGGGTGGAGGGCTGCGATCGGGTTGCGGCTGTGAGTTTTCCACCCGGCAGCTTCTTCTACATTGGGAAAGTGCTGGGCTGCTGTGCTGTACTGGGGGTCTGCGTTGAGCGTCTGGGCCCCCAAGGTGGTGGGCAGGAAGGAGAGAGGCCAAGAGCTGTGGGGGCCCCAAGGAAGGGTTGGGCCCACACCAGGAGGACAAAGAGGGGTTCTCCTGCTCCCCAGCCCTGCAGTCCTGCTCCCCAGCCCTGCAGTGCAATCCGGGAGCAGCTGAAATCCAAGCTGGGGCAGTGAAAGGGGCCGAGGCTCCTAAGCCGGCTCGTCTCTGATCCACCCTCCCCGCCCGCCCTCTGCTGCCCACTGCCCTGTGAGAGCCGCTCAGGCAGCTACGGCTGCTGCTCAGAGGCAGCAGCAGAGCAAGCAGCAGGTCCATGACGCCAGCTGGATCTGGAGGCTGCAGGCCAGCTACGCTGAGCTGGGCCTCTGGGGGGCCGCGGGTGCCCTGAGGACTTGGAGAGAGTTCTCTAGACCCTTGAGGGGACCTGGCCAGTTCCAAAGATGCCGACCAATGGGCTGCGTCAGGTGCTGAAGATCCAGTTTGGCCTTGTCAATGACACTGACCGCTACCTGACAGCCGAGAGCTTTGGCTTCAAGGTTAACGCCTCTGCACCCAGCCTTAAGAGGAAGCAGACGTGGGTGCTAGAGCCTGACCCGGGGCAGGGCGCAGCAGTGTTGTTCCGCAGCAGCCACCTAGGCCGATACCTGTCTGCTGAAGAGGATGGGCGCGTGTCCTGTGAGGCGGAGCAGCCGGGCCGAGACTGCCGCTTCCTGGTCCTGCCACAGCCTGATGGGCGTTGGGCACTGCAGTCGGAGCCACACGGCCGCTTCTTCGGTGGCACCGAGGACCAACTTTCCTGCTTTGCCACAGCCATCTCCCCGGCTGAGCTGTGGACTGTGCACCTGGCCCTGCACCCGCAGGCCCACCTGCTGAGTGTGAGCCGGCGGCGCTACGTCCACCTGTGCCCTCAGGAGGACGAGATGGCAGCAGATGGTGACATGCCGTGGGGTGTGGATGCCCTCCTCACCCTCATCTTCCAGAGTCGACGCTACTGCCTCAAAACCTGTGACAGCCGCTACCTGTGCAGCGATGGCCGCCTCGTCTGGGAGCCTGAGGCTCGTGCCTGCTACACACTCGAGTTCAAGGCAGGCAAGCTGGCCTTCAAGGACTGTGACGGCCGCTACCTGGCGCCCGTGGGGCCTGCTGGCACACTCAAGGCTGGCCGAAACACGCGGCCTGGCAAGGATGAGCTCTTTGATCTGGAGGAGAGTCACCCACAGGTGGTGCTGGTAGCAGCCAACCACCGCTATGTCTCTGTGCGGCAAGGTAACCTTGTGGGCAGCAGCCTCCTCAGAGGGTGTGTGGGGCCTCCCAGGGCAGTGGCATCCTGTCTGTGTGTTCATGTGTCTGTTCTGGGCTGGGACATCCATATGGACATGTGTCTGTTCACAGTGCAGGGTAGTGGCCCTGGGCTGCACCTGGGGGTCCCCAATGAGGACTGAAGCAACAGGTTCGGACCTTTCTCAGGACAGCTGGGGAATGTCTCCGCCAAGCCCTGGGCTTGATGGGCACCTATTGAATCTGAGATTGGAGACGCGTAAGCTGGGGAGGCCACAGCCTGGTTTGGTGTTGCCAGGGGAAGGTGGGAAGGAGGCCTCATTCCTCCCCTTCTCCTCCACCTGCTTTTTGGACTTTAAAGGAAGTCAGGGAGGAGGCCTGGGCCCCAAGAATAGGGGGCTTGCCTTGGAAGCAAGTAGTCCTGTTCAGGGCCTGAGCTTACCATCTCTGTCACAGTGGGTGTGGCTTGTCTCTCCCCATTTCCCTAGGCATGGGTTACTTGCCTCTGATAGCTCCCTCAGCAGCCTGTGGGTTAAATAGGCACTTCCTGCTTCTCCATGTGGGAGTTGAGGGTCCCAGGTGGCCCCAGGGGTAAGCTGAGGGGTAAGCCCTGGTCCAGTCACACTCACTGCCCACTGGGCTCTTGGCTCCATATGCTTCAGAGTGGCCAGGCACACCCTGGCCCAGGGGCTCTGAGGTCAGGAGAAGACAAAAGGAGAGCGTGTTGGCACCTGCAGCCCTTCCCTTGATTCTAGTCACCTCCTTAGGCCAACATCAGGCAATGGCCAATACCAGCTCACTCATCTCTTGGAAGTTCCCACATGTCCACCAAACCCCTGTCCCAGTGGACATCCAGCCTCTCAGGGCACACTAGCCCACCTTAGGAATCTGGGCACACTGTTGCCCTGGTCCAGCTGGGGGAGGGCCACCCTTGAGCACTGAGAGGGGTGCTAAGCCATGGCTGTGGGGCCTGTGCCTGTAGTCAGGGTCCTTGGGCCAGTCCTGCAGTGACAGAAATTAAAGTCACATTGTGAACACCTGTCCTGGCACATGGCCGGGTGCTGGGGTTCATCAGTAGACATGCACATTGTTCTTTTCCATCATAGCTTTTCCTGGCTTGGGCCAACACCATATGCTTGGCAATCCTTAGTTGGTTAAATGGGTGAAATGAAGCAATGATAGCAAGAAAGCTTCCTTTGTGAGAGTTGAAGATTGTGGACACAGTATTTGTAAGTTGACAGTTTGCAAAAGAGACTCATGGCAGTGGTGATGGTAATGGCTGTGGTGTGGTAGTGATTGTGGTAGCAATGATGATGGTGACAGTGCTACTGGAGGAAGTGCTGGTGATCATGGTGGAGGTGGTGGTG